CCTCCCCCCTCCCTCTCTCTCTTCTGGCACGCGGGGCAGGCAACCCAATCCGAGCTCCGCCCATCCATTGTTCTGGCCGCCTCCAATTGTTGCAGTACAACGTTGCTCGATCTCGATCCCGAATCCGGCACTGCCGCACTTGCTACTGTATCTCTTACAGGACGAGCCAGGGCAGCAGCAGGAGGAAGGGCGCGTGGGGCCGGAACAGCAGCAGTGACTCGGTCGGTTGGTGGTGCATGCCGTCTCATGCTGTCTGCATTCCTCGTCCGGCTCACTCGCCAACGATCGTGGATGCACCCGTGCGCGGACGGCAGTCTGGGGAAGCGAGGAATCGCTCGGAACGTCGTGAAAGCACGAGGGCAAAGACAAGGTTTTTGATTACGGGCTCCGAGCATCAAAGAAAAGACGGAGCTGCATCCGGCATGCACCTGTTGATGGAGAGAGTCTCTCATCCGATCGCTCTTGCACAACCAGGGCGGCTTCGCGATGCACAATTAAGACTCGCAGTGGAGGTCGTTTGTTCAGACTCTTTGGGCAGTGCGAGCGGTGCGAGTGGGCGAGCAAGGCGGGCGAGGAATGAGCACGAGCCCCGATGCGAGCTCCAAAAGGAGGTGGGACACCGACGAAACGCCCAAAAGCCTAAAGTGAGCGGCTCTGCGGTTGGACGACATCTGCACGTCAGGATCGAAGGCTCGGCTGTCGACTCAAACATTCGATCTGGGTGGCGGCCGCTTGACGCCGCGCTGACACGCGTCCCTTACGGACGAAAAGCAAGGGTACACTCCGGCTTGGCCGCGACAACTGACAGCGCGCGGTCCGGACAGGTCGATCCGCGCCAGAGCATACCGAGGCACCCGAGCAGTGTCGTCCTCATCTTCTTTTTTCCCCTTTTTCCCTCTCTCTTTCTTCCAGGCTTATGCTGCTTGTGAGTCTACCACAATTCGTCAACCTTGGGTATGCCTGCCTGCAGCCTTCGACAGTCATTTTGTAATTTGGTTTAGGCTCATCTCGCTCCTGCCCTGCAAGCCCCTGCAGGCGGCGATCGGTGGGCCTTGAATTTTCGGCGCTTCGGACGTCCACTCTCGACATTGCGATCCGGGGCCCGGGTGAGCGACCGAGACCAGCTGCAGCCAGGTGACCGACATGCAATGGTACACGGTATCATTGCCCGGTTTCAAGTGCTGCGACGACCGTGCGTTTTATTGATATCAATCGCATCATCGTGCTTCGAACGCAAGCTTTGTTTTGCTTCGCTTGGTTACCCCGCCGCCCTTGCCGCAGCTTGATGCTTATACCCTCCCTGCCCGTGCTTCGTACACTCAATATAATCCGCGACCGTCTCTGCTGACCTGGTCGCACGCGTGCGCACCCGCGAGCCGCAAGTTGGGCCGAAATCGAATTCTTTGCTGCTCAGGGCTGCGGCCGGGCAGACGCACTGCGAGCTGCAGACGCGCCTAATTTGGCTGCACGCTCGCTTCAGCCGCACGCGGCACGCTGCAAGGTAGACCCGAGGGGCCTCTGCGTGTTTGGCGAGATCGCGCTCCGTCAAGTCCAGCATTGAAAATTGCATCCGGCTCTTCGATCCCCGAAGCCTGGGTGTAGGACCCTGGATCGCTATCTCCGCGCCGTGAGCGCCGGATTCCGAGTCGCTGGCGCTATGCCCCTCCGCTTCACTCTGCCACTTCTTTAGTGTTGGCTCTCGTCATTTCGCTCCGAGGTGGCCTCGTGCCTCTGAGCTTGTCAGGGCACTTTTCTGCTGACGCCCGTGCTGTGCAGGAACGATGGTAGGGGCTGGTAGATTCCAGCGCAACGCGGAGGAAGGTCTTAAGCTTGGCGGTACTGGCGCCCACGGGACTGCCTCCGATAGCGGGTCGCCATCTTCGATCGGCGTATTCGAACGGCGGGAAGGATGTCAGCCGAAATAGTATGGATGCGGTCTGACTGATGCTGCGCAGTCGGGATCCACTGTAAGCCGGAGAAGAGATGGATGGCGAGCTTGGAGACGCAAGAGCTGCGAAGGATGCCCGAAAAATGTAGCCGCGCCCATCGAGCCATGCAGATGCAGCTTAATCTTATTTACGTCCGACTTTAGAGTGCTCCGCAGCGGCCTGGCCGCGTCCTTTTTTCTTCGCCTTTTCTTCGCCTTTTTTTCAACAGTCTGTCACGTCGGAGGCTTGAGCTGCTGACATTTTTGAAAAAAAAACCCTGATGGATCGGATTGGCGATCGAAAGAGCAGATTTACCGCCCGATAGATCCGGGGCGAAGATGAACCTGATGCTACGATGGCGACAGAGGCTCGAGTCGAGCTGCTGCAACCCGACGGTCGATGTGATGCAAGCATGCTGCTTTTGCAACATCGCAGGCCCGGTGTTTGCGCGCAATCACCGATGCGATGCTGCCGGGCGAATCGAAGCCCACGTGCATGCGACGTCGGATCGGCTCGAATCGCCCGGCTGTCATCATGCGGAACTCTCCCGCCGGCCAACCTCGGTCAACCGCATCTTGGCCGGGTCACACCCATCGGACATCGGCCACGCCAATGTCACACGCCCCTGCCATCGACATGGACGGGTAGAACTCCGCGATGCTGAAAATGAAGACGCAAAAGGGGGAAGATGTCGGTGGAGACGAACACTGCGCTTCCTCGGTGCTCTCGGAAGGTAGTTTGGCCTTGGAGGCGAGACTGCCGCCCAGGGGCAGCATCTCGCCCGCTTAAGCCCACCATAGCCCGCATGCACGCGAGCTCGCCATCGACGCTGAACCTCATCGACATGCGAGGGTGCTTCGCGGCTGGAAACACGCACCCGCTATGAGGATGTGGGTGTGTCGAGGGTCGCCACGCTGTTCACGCCGGCTTCGTGTTTTTCTAGGACGATGTGAGCCTTGTCGAGCAAAACCCACCATCCTCAAACAGAGGATGAATGAGCCTTTCAGACTGTAGGAGCTTCCGCTCAGGCTTCCGACAACGTCAAGGGGGGTACGAGGGCGTGCTGACGCGTGTCGACAACCCTCCAACCTTCCTTGAACGGCTGCACCGATAAGCTTGTACGAGAAGCCAGTCTGGCTCGCCATTGATCTGTCCATCTCAAAACTTCACAACTGAAACGTCGAATCGAAGCCATACTCACCCCCCCTGTCATATTGATCGCTGATAGGACAAGTTGCATTTCCTGCCGAAAGAAAAGGGAGAAGATGAGAAGGAATGTATGGAACGTTCAATGGGTCAAGTCCCACGGAAGCAAAAAGAGAATCTTGACCTAAATCCTAGTTTCGCGCAACCCCACTCCGAAGAGCGGGGTCTCGATCTAGCCTCCTTCTTCAATCAACCAGCCACGGAGGAAAAGAGACTGATCAATCAAATAACAGGGGCATGTAAGGGGGAGAGGAGAGGAAGAAAGGGGAAGGGAAAAGGGGGAAGCTGCTCATCACACACAGACAACAAACGCACAAACGACGTTTGATCGTTGGCTCCATTGCTCGATCCACGGGCCTCATGCCTTGGCCGCGGCGGCCTCGAGCTTCTGCTTGAACTCGCCCGCCTGGTCCTCCGTCTTGATCTTCATCCTGTACTGCGTCGGCGTCTTGCCGTCGAAGCCGAGGAACGCATTGATCGTCTTGTCCTGCGTCGTCTTGAGCCCCTTGTACGTCATGAAGTTGACAGCGACCTTACCGTTTGCCTCGTTTCTCGCCAAGAGTCGGTGCTTGCCCGTCTCGGCACTGTGCTTGAGCTTGGTGATGCACACGCCCAGATCCTTCCAGCTCTTGGACTCCGCGTCGAGCTTCCAGAACTTGGCGCGCACCTCGAAGAGCGTCTGTTCACCTTCTTCGCCCTCGCCCTCGCCGAGCAAGCCCGAAGACTGTGTCTTGCTCGGATCGCCCGAAGCACCATCTTCATTCGACTCGGCCGTGGATTCCGCGGTCGAAGCAGCAGGCGCTGCAGGCGTCACGGCTGGTGCCGAGGAGATGGGCGAAAAGCTGAATCCTCCGCTCGGCGCTGATGTCGAGGAGGGTGCTGATTTCGTGTCGGCGGCGGCCGGCTGCGACTTCTCGCGCGGCGTCTCGATCTCGTATATGAAATCGAACTTGGGCAGTGCGGCCTGGGCCACGGCCTTCATTTCGTCGCGCAGTGCACGGTCAGCAGCACCGGCGCCCGATGCCTGGACCGGTGGGGCTTGCCATTCGAACTTGGGCAGCTTCGCCGCGTCCTCTGCCAACACCTCGGCACGAGGCGAGGTGCCGCTCGATGGGGCGGGCTGAGCTTTCGGTGTCGAGGAAACCGAGGGCGAAGAGGCCGCCACGGACGCAGGGGCCGAGAAGCTGAACCCGGTAGAGGGCGCAGCGGCGGGCTTCTGTGCTACGGGCACGGCCGGCGCTGGCGTAAAGCTGAATGCGGTCGACGGAGCCGGGGCAGAAGCAGGGGCTGGCGCAGGAGCGCTGGCCGACGTCGCTGCCGATGCTGCTGGTGCGGAGAAGGAGAAGCCCGTAGAGGGCGTGGACGTAGCCGGCACGGCCGGCTTGGGCGCGCTGAACGAGAACCCAGACGAAGGCGTCTGAGCCGCGCTGGCAGACACGGTGCTGCCAAAGTTGAAGCTGGGTGGAGGGATGGCGCTACCGCGAGGCTGGGTAGCCGGTGCCTCCGAGTCGGAACTTGGCGAGTCCGGTGCGCGGAATGCGGCCGAGAGCGGCGAGGGCTTCTTGGGCTTGGTGGAGGTATACTGCGGGGGAACAAGCGCGGCATTCGGCTTGACAGGCTTCTGCGCCGCATCGGCAGGCGAGGTCTTGGATGCTGCGTTCTGCTCCTGCTGGTTTTTGGCCTTGGTGAGGGCCTCCAGCCGCCGCTGCACCTCCTCGGTCTTTTGCAGCTTGCGCTCTTCCGCCGACGGCTCGGCGACGGCTGCAGGAGCCGGCGAGGACTCCGCCGCAGGCGCCTTGCCGTTTTGTTGAGGCTGCGTGCTCTCGCTTTCGGCCTTCTTGCGGGCTGCGGGCAACTTCGGCGCGGTGCGCTCGATGAGATCCAGGACGGATTCCTTGGGAGGGCTGCTCTTCTCGGCGGCTCGTGCCGACTCTCGCGCCTTGGCACGCGTCAGCATCGAAGTGCGCGCAGATCGGCGCACCGCCACCGGAGCCGCGTCGTCGTCGTCTGCCGCGCGCTTGCCCTTGGCGGACGAAGGTGCCGCTGATTGATAAGGGTTGACCAGCTCGGGTTTGGTAGGAGGACGCACGGGAGGAGTCGTCTTGAGGATGTCTTGGATCGCGCTTGCGGTACGAGTGGGCACCTTGGGTGGGCTCGTGCGGGCCGGAATGGGAGCTGCTGTATCCGCAGCAGGAGCCGACCTCTTCAACGTGGACGCGGTGGTGCCTGGCGACGAGGAGGCGAGATCTCTGGCGAGCAAGCTACTCTGACGCGATTCCCTCTCGTATGCGGACTCGAATTGCACCGCCTGGTCTGCAGCAGACTGGCGGCCTTGCGTTGAAGGCGTAGCCTCGTTCGTCGCATCCGTGCGGCGGCGCTTGGCTTCTTCTGGGCCTGCAGCTCGATCTGAGGCTTCCAGCGAGTCGTCGACGTCTCTCACGTGCCTTGTCAGGCTCGGATCGGTGCTCGACCGGGCCAAGGAACCCTGAGCAAGCGTCTTGGAAAGCGCCGAGCCTCGAGCCGAGTTTGCGAGAGGCCGTCTGCGATCGAGAGAAAGTCCGCTCATGCCGGGACCGAGATAGATGGGCCGGCGACGAGACGAGCTGGCTGACGAGCCGATGCTGTTTGACGGCGGGGCGGGAGCTCGAGGCGCCAGGAACGAGTATGCGCTCGAGGAGGCTGTGAGCCGGCTCGTGCCAGGGTGGAATAGCGAGTTCATGGACTGCGAGCTGGGCATAGCGGGAGGTGCGATGCTGCTGGCGCGGGAGGAAGGGGTAAAGCCGCTGCTCTGCATCATCGGGTATGTGGGGCCGTACGAGGAAGGGTAGGCGTGACCAAACTCGGACTCGAGGTTGCGACCGTGCGTCATGCTCTCCTCGATCAACCTGATGCATCCTTCCACTTCGACTTCGGTGAGAGCGCCCTGGCCACCGCGCTGCTTCTCCGCGAAGAAACGCGCGAGCAGGTCGTAGTTGCGCGAGACAGGGCTGGTCTGGGAAGGAGCTTGAAGCGGTGCTGACGGCCCGGGCGTAGCGGGTCCAGCCTCTGACTGCACGTTCATCATCTGACGACGGAGGCCGGGCGTGACGAGCGCGCTGTTGGCCAACGGAAGCGATGCTGTTGGTGCTGACGATGAAGCCGCAGGTCTCGGACTCGCAGAGCGATGGCTTGTTTGTGAAGCGACCGACAAGTCGAGGGTCTTGGGCTGGAGGGGGCGAGACGAGGACGCGTCGGCTTTGGCAGAGACACCTTCCTCTGCATCCTCGATCATACGATCATCAGCAACACGGACCTCGCCATTCGACTCGACCGTGTCCTCCTCGGGCGCTTCTTCTTCCTCCACCTCCTCCTCAGCATCGGCGGCACCAAAGGCAGCGGAGCTCCGGGCGCGGCTATGGCCTCGGAAGGGACTGATCATGGAGAAGATCTCGCGCAGCATCATGGGCGAGTTGGTGCGCGACGGCGTGCTGGGACCGACGCTGAGGCCGGACGAATGTTTTGTGGGAGTTCTTGTGTATGGAGACGCTCTTGTGGGTGTTTTGGAGAGGACATTCGTGGAAGAGCCTCTTGTTGACAATGCGGAAGCGGAAGGCGAATCTTGAGCGCGGCTCGAAGCAGAAGAGCCGGCAGCCGCGCCCGAGCGCGTGTGTCTCGAGGGACCCATGACTGCGGGTGATGCGCTACAGCCGTGTCTGTGAGCTAGGTTGTGCGGCAACAGACAATAAGGTTTACCACAGCCGAAATGAAGTGCGGTCCCACCAAAGTCACGTCGTGCTTTGCAAGCAAGCACCTAGAAGCATCGACGCTGTGCAATCCAGAGCATATCCTTGGATCCACAGCGAGTCAGTACGTCGATGACGTTGGCTATGATGAAGGGGGGCTCTTGAGGGTATATGGATGAAGAGAAGGAGAGTGCGATTCCCCCATCTGGCGACGACGATTTTTGCAGCCTTTTTCTCGCGGCCATCTGCGGTGGCTTCTGATCGCTCGAGCCACGCTGTAGCCTTAGCGGTGAGCTGGAAGATCTCACAGTCGAGGAAGCGCAAAAGCGAAGTGAATATGTAAGCATGACTTGTGGCTGCGCTGCAGGCTCGAGCCGGAAGGGTTCAACCTTTCGGCTTCTTCCATCAACGCCTTTCGATTCCACCTCCATCGCAAAGGCACACCGGCGGCGCCTCTTTCCGCTCATATACAAGAGCCAGCCGCCACACGCGCGCCTGCCTTTCAGCCCCAAAGGCTGCGCCAACCTCATCAACACCGTCCCTCGAGCCGTTGCGCCTCATCACATCCAACATGTCGCGCTCCGCTCCCCGCATCAAGAACCGGGCGCCTGCGCCCATCCAGATCTCTGCCGAGCAGCTGCTGCGCGAAGCCAACGAGCGCCAGGAGGCACCTGCAGCTGCGCCAAAGCAGAGGATCGAGGACTATGAGGAGCTCGAAGAGTACCGCGGCCGCAAGCGCACCGAATTCGAGAACCGCATCAACAGCACCTACGGCAACATGAACGGCTGGATCAAGTACGCCGTCTGGGAGGCGAGCCAAGGAGAGATGGACCGATGCCGCTCCGTCTTTGAGCGCGCGCTCGATCGCGATCCGCACAGCCTGCCCGTGTGGCTGCGCTATACGGAGCAGGAGCTCAAGATGCGCAACGTCCAACACGCGCGCAACCTGTACGACCGCGCCGTCAGCATCCTCCCGCGCATCGATCAGCTGTGGTACAAGTACGTACACCTCGAAGAGCTTCTGGGCAACATCTCGGGCACACGCCAGGTGTTCGAGCGCTGGATGGCGTGGGAGCCCGAGGAGAAGGCGTGGCATGCCTACATCAACCTCGAGATCCGCTACAGCGAGCTCGACCGCGCAAGCGCCATCTGGGAGCGCGCCGTCACATGTCACCCGACGCCCAAGCAGTGGATCCGATGGGCCAAGTTCGAGGAAGACCGCGGCGACCTCGAAAAGGCGCGCATGGTCTTCCAGATGGCGCTCGACTACATTGGCGAGGACGAAGAGGCGATGGAAAAGGCACAGAGCGTCTTCACCGCCTTTGCCAAGATGGAGACGCGTCTCAAGGAGTACGAGCGGGCGCGCGTGATCTACAAGTATGCACTCGAGCGGCTGCCGCGCTCCAAGTCCGAGGGCATCTACTCGAGCTACACGCGCTTCGAGAAGCAGTTTGGCACCATGAGCAGCGTCGAGGACACGGTCATTGGCAAGCGGCGCATCCAGTACGAGGAAGAGCTTGCGGCGCAGCAAGGACAGACTGCCGACTACGACACGTGGTTCGACTACTCGCGGCTTGAAGAGGATGCCTACCGAGCGCTTGCTGCGTCGGGAGGCACGAACGAGCAGCTAGAGCAGGCGGCCAAGCGGGTACGCGAGGTGTACGAGCGCGCCATTGCACAGGTGCCTGCCTCGCAAGAGAAGCGCGACTGGCGCCGCTACATCTTCTTGTGGCTGCGCTACGCGCTGTTCGAGGAGATCGAGATGCGCGATTACACCCGCGCGCGCGAGGTCTACAAGGCCGCCATCGGCACGGTGCCCCACCGCCAGCTGACGTTCGCCAAGCTCTGGGTGCAGTATGCGCGCTTCGAGGTGCGACGACTCGACCTGCCTACCGCACGCAAGATCATGGGCACAGCCATCGGCATGGCACCCAAGCTCAAGCTCTTCAGTGCGTACATTGAGCTCGAGCTTTCGCTCAAGGAATTCGACCGCGCACGCAAGATCTACAAAAAGGCGCTCGAGTGGGATCCGACCAACTCGCAGACGTGGGTGCGCTTTGCCGAGCTCGAGAAGAACCTCTTCGACATCGACCGCGCACGCGCACTGTTCGAGCTCGGTGTGGGCCAGGCCGAAGCGGCAGAACAGGGCCTCAGTGGCGGTCTGGACATGCCCGAGATCGTGTGGAAGGCGTATATCGATTTCGAGTTCGACGAGCGCGAGTGGGAGCGCGTCGATGCGCTGTACGAGCGTCTGCTCGACAAGAGCGGCCACGTCAAGGTGTGGATCTCGTATGCGCTGTCCAAGGTCAATCGAGCTGCTGCGATCGAGGAGGACGAGGACGATGACGAGGAGGACGATGACGATGCGCAAGCCGAGGCCGAGAAGGCGCCTCGCGAGCTTTCAGTCGAGGAGCAACAGATTCGTGCACAGAGGAGGCAGACGTTAACCGATGCGGCTCGTGCGGTCTTTGAACGCGCGTATGAGTCGCTCAAGGCTCGCGAGCTCAAGGACGAGCGCGTGGCGCTGCTCGAGGCATGGAAGTCGTTCGAGCGACAACACGGTACCGACGCCACCCTCGAGCGTGTCGAGGCCAAGTTCCCACGCGTCGTCAAGAAGCGCCGCGACGTGGACGCCGCTACGGGCGCCATGGAGGAGTACTACGACCTCATCTTCCCGGACGATGAAGACAAGAATAAGGGTGCCTTCAAACTGCTCCAGATGGCGCACGCCTGGCGAGCCGCCCAAGCCGCCAAGCAACAGCAGCAACCTGAAACTCAAGACGATACCAACGGCGTCGCGAGTCCCGGACCTACCGAAGACCACGAACCTGCCGACCTCGATGACGCCCAGTCCCAAAACGCCTCTGACGAAGACGAGGACTCGGCTTGATCCCATTCACACATTCGCTGGATCGCACGCCTAATGTATTTGTACACCGTTTCTTGATTTGGACTGTGCGTGCGTGGTCATCACAGGAATCGCCTGCATCCTGGCGAGCCACACAGACAGGGGATGGCATCTTCGTCGTCGGCGGACGACTGGAACTTGTAGTCGTACGTCAGCTCCTCGCCCGGTCGGATGGGCGACTTTGCAAACAGCACGATCCTCTTCTCGCCGTTGAGCGTGAGGATCTTGGCGTTGCAGTTGGGCGTGCAGCAGTGGTTCATGAGCCGCGCGATGTTGCCCTTGTGCGTGGCATCGACGACGAGATCGTCATCGACACGGAAGAGGTAGGTGGAAAAGTTGCCCTGGCGTTCGTACTGCTTTTCGCGCTCGTCGGCCACCTGCTGCCGCACCACCTCGCCGACATACTCGATCACCATATCGCCCGCCGGAATCAGCTCCATCGCATACAGACCCCAGTCGTGGATCGGCGACTTGGCAAACTTGAGCTGCTTCTTGCGCGTGCGCAGCTGGTTGAACTTGAACATGTCCGTGTCCGTCGCAGTCTCGCGCTTGTGCTGCTCGATGCCCAGCACAAGCCGGCGTGAGTCGGCTCGGTTGTTGCGCGCAGACTGCAGCACCTGCGCGTTGGCGCCAGCTTCCGTCTCCTCAGTCGCCTTGTTGCGGTCCGGAAGGTGCGCTGCCTTGTGCGCGGGCGCGATGCGGTACATGCCTTCGGTCCTGGCGGCTCCAGTGAGGTGCGGCGCAGGCGCTTCCGGTACGCCTTTGAGCTCCACTGCCGCTTCGGGCTCGTCTTCCTCGGGCCACGACTCGTCGGTAGGCAATTCGCCACCCCGGAGCCGGTCGAGCGCCAGGCGGAGGAAGTAGAGGTCCTCGGCGTCCTCCACGAGCCCAGCCTCGAACGGATCAGCAGGGATCGGTTTTGCCTTGGCAGCCGCTTTCGGCTTTGTCTTGGCTAGGACCGCCTCGACTACCGGCGTCGCCGTCCCTTCGCCGCTATCTTCCGGTGTCGCACGTCCGGCCGACTTGGCGCTCTTCTTGGCTGCTGCGGTACCTTTCTTCCGCACTGCAGTGCCTGCTTTGACGCCCGACTTCTTCTTCGTGTCTGTCTCATTCTGCGAGGGCTCCACCGACGCGGACACAGATCGCGATGTAGCATCCGGCCCTGTCGATGCCGCGTCGTCCGACTCTGCTTCCTCGTCCGTAGACTCGAGTAGCCAGGCTGCGGCGCCGCGCTTCTTGACACCGGATTTCGTCGATCTGGCGCGCTCGCCGCTGCGTTTCGACGGGGCAAAGTCTTCGATATCTTCGCTCTCGGCGTCGGCGTCGTCTTTGCCGCGACGGTCCTTTGACTTGGTCGCTGGATCCCGATGCTTCTTGGCGCGTGCTTGGTCGTGCTTGAACTTCGCCTTGGAGGCAGCTGCGTCGCGCTCCGAGGTCGACTTGTCGGTCTTGGCAGTTGCGACCTTGCGGAACGAGGGCAGACGTGCTTCTTTGTCGGCCTTGTCCATCAATGAGCCTCGATCGAGCGGTTTCGAGGAAAAGAAGGCGGGCTTCTTGATGATCGTCTTTGCCAGGAGCTGGAAGCCCTCGCCATCAGGTTTGAGATAGGAGGTGAGGTGAGGCACGACGATCCTGCTCTTGACGTCGCGGAGAAAGGTGTCGGCAAGCTCCTTCTGGAGCATGCGGAAGACCGCGTCCTGGAGCTCTGGCTCGGTCCACTCGGTCTTCTGCTTTTCCTCGGCTGTGAGAGGACGCAGGCCGGAATCCAGCGATTTGCGCGGGGGCTCGGCAGGCGCAGCTGCTGCGGTGCGGCTTGTGGAGGATGCACCAGAAGCGAGGAGAGGCTTGCTCGTGGGGTCGGCTGTTTGTGCGGTTGGCGGTGCCGCGGCCGGCGGGTCCCGCACATGCACCTGAAGCGTGTAGCCCCCGATGGTGAGGGTCTCGTTGACAAATTTGCATGCGGTGGCGTCGCTTTTTGTGCTGAACGCGACATACCAGCCATCGTCGCCCTCCCTGGTCCAGAGCGGCTGAGTGGTGGCCAGTTGCTCGGTGATGTCTTCGGTCAGGACGTTGCACGACTTGGGTTTGGGAATGAACACGTGCGGACGCCTCGGGACTCGGAGCATGTCCAAGATGTCTGCGGTGGGAAGCTTGGGCAGCGCCTTTGGGCGTGCCTGTTGGCCACCGGCCGACGTCGCGTTTTTCATGCCCTCGGAGCGCAGGCTGGAGTAGGATCTGCTGGGACGCGAGTCGCGCTCGTCTTCGTGGCGTCGACGGCCGAAAGAGTCGGCAGATGAGCTGGGACGGTCCCATCGTGGCGCGTCATCTGCACGAGACTGGGTTTTCGAGGACGTCCATCGAGGTGAGCGGGCATCGTGACGGTCTTGGCCTGAACGAGGCGCAGGAGACGACGCGGGCAGATGCGACGATGAAGCCGCATCCATGGAAGGCCGAGGTGCGCGAGGCTTATCCGGCGGAGGCATATTGGACTGCGACGGGCGGGAGGAGGCAGACGTAGGCGCAGTCGAGGCAGCAGCAGAGGGAGGAGGACGATGCTTCGCCTGATCCGCAGCGATCTTGAGCTTGACCTGCTCAGCCACCACCTCGCCGGCGCGGTCGAGAAGGGTGGCGACACGATACTGTCCGATTTGGCGGCCATTGAGTGCGAGCTGTGCTGCCTTCGCCGCCTTGGCTCCATTCTGCGGATCCTGTCCGTCAGGTAGGTCTTTGACGGGTTTGCCATCTTCGTCAAAGTCGTGGGCAAAGGTGACGCAAAAGATGCCCAAGCTCTGGCCGATGGCAGGGTGCATCTCAAGCTTGGACGACAGAATGCGGCCAAAGGGGCGGATGTGTGGCAACAGATGGCTGGGCGGCGTGAGCGCTGAGAAGCCAGTGATGATGAGGTTGCGTGGAGGCGGGAGGGGCTTGGTGCCAACCGAGTTGGCGTCCCAAATGAAGCGAGGTGGATGAAGCCCATCGCGGGAGAAGTCGAGCTTGCGTCCCTTGCGCGGGTCGATGACTTTGGCATCGAGCAGTTGCTTGTCTGCTGCTGACTTGAGCGGATATTTTCCCTGCACATACCCGCTCTTGTCGCGGTGGGCCAAGGTCATGGCATTATTGCCACGTTGCTCTGCATCTAGTTCGTGTGGAAGAAGGACGTGGCCGAAGGATCGGCTCGGAGCAGGTGGCGGCTCGCGGGTCGGTGGGTCTGCGATGTGCGCCAAAATTGCACTCTCTGGCCGAGGCCGGCTAGTCGATGCCGTGGATGCGGAATCCGGGCGGAAGGATTTGGAGGGAGGGACTGGCGAGAGAGACCTGCGACTTGTGCTGGCGAATCGATCTTCTCGGTGAGGGCGAGAGTGGCCGTTTGTCTGGGGCGTGCTGTTGTGGTCCAACCTGTGGTTGCTGGGCCGTGCGCTATGCGGGTCGCGGCTGGAGACAGCATGGAGACCATTGGCTGAGCGTGAGGCACCGGATGCGCGTGCCAGCGTCTCGAGGCGGTCTTCAACTTCGTCGGCTTCGGACGCAAGGGGCGGGGGGCCTCGCCGAGACGCATCCTTGTATGCGGGGCGTGGTTGCGGGTGTGGTGCCAAGGCTGCCTCGAGAGGCTTGGGAGCGTGGTGATCATCCTTACGACGAACTTCCACAATCTCTCCGGCCTCTGCGGCCTCTGGGGCCTCAGCGGCTGGATGCGAGGATAGGTGCGAGGCCGATGAGCGATGGTGATCTCTGGCGTGGGATCTTTGCGAGCGGTCACGAGATCTGCTGCGGCTTCTGTGGGAGCGCCTTGTACGCCAGTGATCATCGTCGTGGCGCCGAGGCTCGCGATACTTGTGATCATGGCGCGAGGTGTGCGATTGTCGCGAGCCTCGCTCATTGTCGCAAGGATGGCCATCGACGTCGGAGCGCCTGTTCCTGTCAGGGGAGCGAGGGCGTCGGTCGGGTGCGTGGTGGTCATAGTAGGAGGAATGACGCCGAGGTTCCGAGCTGGAGGAGGGAGCATATGGCGAGCGCTGCCCGGAAGAACGCCAGCTGTCTTGACCGTAGCCTGTTCGATGCGAGGAGGAGTGGTTACGGTGGCGGTCTTCATGGTCGCGCCTGCGTTCGGAGGAATGGTGTCTGTCATAGTCTGGCTCTGGACTGCGACGCCTAGGAGATCTGAGTCTTGGATGCTGGTCTGCGGAGCGGCTATCGACAGAAGATCTCCAAGAGTCGTTCCTGGACGAGGCGGAGCCCGAAGCATGCCTGTTGTCATACTCGTGGGAAGGCATGCTTGCGGCTCGTACAGCGCCTCCAAAGGCTCACCGATGCCGACCGATCGGATGGAGAGCCAGGAGCGAGGGCCGGCAGGATCGAGACAGAAGTCTCTCTATGAGGATGAGGACGACTCCATCAAGATGTGCTTGGTGGTGCGCGTGTGGAGGCTACGGACAGCGCAATGCAAGACAGCTACAGTAATGGGGAGAAGGATGGCGGCGATGCTGCGTCGACTAGCCGAGAGAGATGGCCGCGGGAGCATAGAGCAAGCAGCGAGAAAGCTAGGGCTAGAAGGTGGAGTGGAACGAAGAGCAACCGGGACGAGGGACGGTGAAATCAGCAGGGCCGAGCCTGGGGTGCAGGCAGCTCGAGCCAGCCGGCGCATCTTTTGTGGCAGCAGACAGCAGAAAGGCAGCAGAAGCGTCGCGCTCGTTGGCCGCGCCGCGCCCACTTTGATATTCGCCAGTCACCCGACTCGTGACTTTTTGGCCCAGACAGGCCGGTAGCGCTGAGCAGCGCAGCGGCAAGAAGAAGAAGAACAGACCCCTTTGGCGGCGCGCTCTCTCTCTCTCCATTTCAGGACTCAGCGGCGGGCGCGGGGACGCGTCTGTTGGCACACAAATTCGCGATGTTAGATCTACTGCTCCAGCGGCAGAGCAGGCCCCGGCTGTGGCCCTTGCGCGGTGGCCTGTGTGAGAGGAGCAGCTCCACATATCGCGAGCGCACAATACCCTTGTCCGCATCCCACCATCACGAGAACAACAGCCAGCACTGATCTACATCGAGTAGTCGATCTGCAGCTGATTCGGAGCCCTTGCCGTCCTCGTCTCTCGCTCCTTGCCGCTGTTCGCCTCCCCCCGCGCCATGTTGGTCCTCGTGATTGGCGACCTGCATATCCCCTTCCGCGCACACGACCTGCCGGCCAAGTTCAAGAAGCTGCTGGTGCCCGGCAAGATCCAGCAGATCATCTGCACGGGGAACGTGTGCAACACCGACTACCTCCACTACCTGCGCACCATCGCTGGCGATGTCCACCTCGTCAAGGGCGACTACGACGACAATCCGCATTTCCCCTCGAGTCTCGTCCTCAACCATGCGCCGCTACGCATAGGCGTGCTCCACGGCCACCAGGTCGTCCCGGCTGGTGACACCCAGTCGCTCGCCGCCGTTGCCCGCGCCATGGACGTCGACATCCTTCTCACCGGACACACCCACCGCTTCGAGGCATTCGAGCTCGAGGGCCGCTTCTTTGTCAATCCGGGCAGCGCCACAGGCGCATGGCATCCCACCTGGCCACTTCGAGACCCTGCCTCCATCGCAGCGCTCGCAGAAAAGGCGGCTACCAAGGCGAGCCAAGCCGATGCATCCGGTGCCGACGCAAAGAAGTCCGATAAGCACGCCACAGACGAGGCAAGCACCAAGAAGAACAAGNGGCTACCAAGGCGAGCCAAGCCGATGCATCCGGTGCCGACGCAAAGAAGTCCGATAAGCACGCCACAGACGAGGCAAGCACCAAGAAGAACAAGACCGACGAGGCGGCCAAAGCAAAGCCAACAGATGCCACGGCCGCAGAAAAGGACGGCGCATCCGCCAAGCAGGCAGACGCTGCCAATGAGGACGACGAAGAACTCCAAGCAAAGGAGGCGCCAGCGCCCATCCCGAGTTTCGCACGTAAGTAGCATGTCGCTAGCGGAGCCTACATGCGCCGAGCTTTGCCGTATCTGACACTGCCTCCTCTCTTGTTCGCATCCGAAAGTGCTCGACATCCAAGGCGCAGTTGTGGTCACGTACGTATACCAGCTCATCGACGGCGACGTCAAGGTGGAGAAGATCGAGTACCGCAAGAACCTCGACAGCAATGCCTTGTTGCAACGTGGCACAGCCGGGGCTCCTGCCGTGGGCGCAGTTGGAGGTGCATATGGCCAGCAAGCATCGCGATGAAGCCCCTTATGCTTGCGGAAGATCACATCGCAGTAATACCACCGTCAAGATGCAAACGCGCCAGTCGGCTGCGATGGAAGCGTCGGCGTTGATTCTAGAGTACAAGTACAAGGATGTGAGACCTGAGCGGGCTCAAGGGCGGGGTGTTGGCGATGCAGATGGCCGAGCCTCAGGTGAGAAGATCTGGCCTTTTGGTCGATTCACTTTGCTGGTTGGATGAGTGTCTGCATCGTGAACGGCAGTGCGCAACGAGATTGCCGTCAGCTTTGCAACGAGTCTACGAGTACGATCGACACGCCACTTACGATGTTGTCGCCTTTCAACAGGATGCGCCCGAGCTCGACGCGCTTGTGGTCCTTCTTGAGCCACACCTCCTCGGCATCTGCCAACGTCACGTTCATAAACTCGTCGAAGCCCTGTCGAAGCTCAAAGCAAGCATATTGACGGTCAGCAGTCTGCTTGTGTGTCCCTGCAAAGGGCGACTCCGGCTGTACTTACGATGATCTTGCCCTCGATGCGAAAGTCGACATTGTCGTAGAGCCAGAGCGACACTCTTGTCTGCTGTTGCAGGTGGCGGAAGATGATGTTGATCGGCTGCACCGACACTTTGCTTCGTCCTGACATGTTGGCTATGCTGTGATGGACGCTTCGACTCGCGGCGATGGGGGTCTGCACGCAGATGGGTGGATGTGCAGAAGCAAGAAGCAGAGTCGTCTCGGAAGCTGCAATCGCGCTACTGTGATGCGGTCCACAGATTTGACGGTGTGAAGATGCGAAAGAGTGCTCTTCTGAGCGTAGCAGCCACTGCGAGGGTTGATGCGAGGGTCGAAAGCCAAGTCGAGAGCGGTGGTGACAAGATGGAAAGTGGAGATGGAGGCCAAAGGCTGCACTTTGCGCGACTCTGCGAATTCCAGCCAAGGGTTGTCGAGGCTCGCAATCGGGAGTTGCGAAACCGATGCGATCGCGATGCTCCCAAACCAAGCTCGGAGTTTTTGGCTCCACAAAAATCGCACTCGCTCTCCAAGCCGCGGCGTGACGCTCTGGCCAGCGGCGGCGGCGGCGGCTGCTGCCACGAAAGCTGATTTGGTGCGCTTTGGCACCATTTGCATGCAAGGCAAGCACCGCGTGCATCACGGAAGCTCAATTCCGCCGCCCCACCTTCTCCTTCTCTCCTTGCACTTGCTTTGCTCGGTTCGCTCCACCATCCCACCTGCCACCACGATCCCACATCTCCATCTCACCACCGGGACAATCTGTCGTGGCAACATCATAATTCCGTGATTCGATCCACCTCAAAAAGGCGCAGCGGGACAGCGAACCTGCTCTTGAACAAGACCGCCCAGAGGCGACAGCTGCGACTCCCTCGAGGCGCTGCGCTGCTCCGACGTTCGGCAATCCACGACCTCCCTTTTGGGTCGATCCTTCAGCGGTAGATCGCGAGAGAAAGCAGAGCTGACTGGCAGGTGCAAGAAGAAGCCGAGAGGCAGCCGTAGACGCATATACCCCGGTCCCTCGATCCGCGAGGCTCTTTCCGCTCGTACCAGCACCATCGGCGAGAGCGCCTGTAAGCCAAGATGGGCGTCACGTTCTCTTCGATGTTCTCCAAGCTCGCGTTCTGGAACAAGAACGAAGACGTGAGAATACTCATGCTTGGCCTAGACAGCGCGGGCAAGACGACCATCCTGTACCGGCTGCAAATAGGCGAGGTGGTGTCGACCATCCCGACGATCGGCTTCAACGTAGAGACAGTGACGTACAAGAACATCAAGTTTCAGGTGTGGGACTTGGGCGGTCAAACGTCGATTCGGTAGGTTGTTTTTCCTTTCAACGCTTTCATAGCATCGAGACGGCTGGACTAACGCTTGCCTAATCTTGGTCGGTGCGATGCTGCAGTCCGTACTGGAGATGCTACTACGCCAATACGGCGGCGATCATCTATGTGATCGACGCCTCCGACACGCAACGGCTGGGGACGGCCAAGGCGGAGCTGCTGGCGATGCTGTCCGAGGAAGAGCTCAGGGACTCGAAGCTGCTCCTGTTCGCCAACAAGCAGGATCTACCGGGCGCGCTCGACGAGGGCCAGGTGAGCGAGAAGCTCGGACTGAGCGAGCTCAAGGACCGCCAATGGTCTATACACAAGTGCTGCGCCACAAAAGGCGAAGGTCTCGAGGAGGGGCTCGACTGGTAAGTGGCTTCCGAGACGGTCTTGCAGATCAGAGCTCGATGCTGACGTGGTTCCCTTTCAACTCTGCTGCTTTTGCTTTTAGGCTCGTGACGACGCTTCAATCCAAGTGACCGGACGAAAGACTCTGATACCCGTTCGCTCCGGTCTCTACCGCTGCACCTCGCCTAATCATCATCACCGTATACGAGGCCTTTAGTACGCATTGCAAAGACGAAATGGTTTCCATCGCTTCTGTGTCGTCATCCCGTGCGAATGTCACGGCCTGAGGTAAGTGTGGTCGTTGTGTGCGACTGTCGTTGCGTGGGGTGGCAGCCTTTGATCCGGCTCCAGCAGCAGGTTTTGCGAGATGCGTGTGTGAGCGCGCGCCAGCCAGGGATGGCTCCTTTGGATTTTCGGCCTTCATGCCGGCCGACGCGTGGGCCCTCACGGCGTGCTGGTTGCCCTTTGACGACCACCGTTTCGATCGGCCAGCTTCAAGACAGGTGCGGCCATGCAATCGACATCGGCAGCCATTGCGGCCGCGGCGATCTCGGGTGCCGACCTGGGTGCACGGGCAAACAGCTCCAAAGGATCATCGGCTGCGACCATCGGTAGCAACGGCTTTGATGCTTCCGAGGCCGAAGCATGGGTGCAGGCAAGATGGAAGTCTGTACAGACCAGCCTGAACGACAAGAAGATCCCAGACACTCGTAAGTCATCCACCACCGGGTATCACCGAGAGGCAAGGGTGGGTTTGCTGATCGTGTCTCTGAACGCGTGGTACAGAGAGGCCAGAGGTATACAAGGCCGCACCGGGCACTGGTGGCTCTGCGTGGGGCCCGAACAAGAGTGAGTCAAGCCCTGCTTCAAGCTTTGTGTGACGAGGCGCATGCTGATGATGAGCCCTTGGACGTGGCGGGTCGAACACAGAGACCGTCAACGAGAGGTTCGCCAACGACCTTGTCAAGGCATCCACCGCAGCAGCGTCGCAGTGATGCGAGCGGCTGGCAAGCTTGCCCGAGTCAACGAGACACACTCCTCCCCACTGAGCGCATCTGCGTCACTGCAGCACCAGCAGCTGGTGCTTGACTCATTCGAACATGCCCACACTCTCTGTGATTACATCCATCGACGACCTCTTCCGATGCTCGAAAGTGAGCTTCCATTGAATCTTCACGATCAAACAGATAATGTCCTTCGGCCTCGTCCGAGACACTCCCATGTCGGTACGATGAAGCTTATAGATTGCGGCATAGAGGAAGACTGAGCCACTGCTTGCGCTGTCCATCGTTGGTGCGCTGTCCATCGTTGGTGCGTGTGGCCAAGCACGCGGGATCCGGGAGTCGCGTCGAGTTCGGTTGGAGAGCAACACTTCCCTCTCTCTCTTTTTTTTCCTGCACAACGCGGTGTTGGCCGATGCGCAGCATAAGCAGGTGGAGAAAGCGAGGCCAACGCGGCTCAAATCGCCAGTCCTCCGCATTGGTTCTGCGCCTGATTAATTGGCGTCCGGAAAATTCGCGCTGCTGCTGCTGAGCAAACAGCCGACTCGGGTGGGATTGCTTCCCCACCGTATCCACCACCACCACCTCCTCCTCCTCCTTCCTCCCCCTCAAAGCTCCGCAGAACCAGCTCGGGATCAGCCGGGCAAGTCGCTGCCATGCTCGCGTCGTCGTCACAGCGCGCATGGCCTCAAGCCTCGCCATCCCACGACGACTACGACCAGGCGCTCACCGTCCTGCGCATCGTCCAGCCCGCTGCCATCCTCGCCATCGCACTCGCTTCGGTGCTCATCAAGCCCTCCAAGAAATGGCTCGCCCATCTGCTCCATCCTCGACGCTCCGAGTACGATCAGCTTCGAGCTGAGGCACATCGCGAGCACGACGACGACGACGATGAGCCGCCCCAACCCACGCCCGTCGTCGTGCCCGTCCGCTCTCGCCGCCGATTCCTCACGCAGTCCACCCAGCTCGGTCTCGCCGCTACCTTTTTCGCATCGGGTGTTCTGATCATCCTGCGCGCCGTCCTGCCTCCGAAGGAATGGCAGCCCGACCTCGCGCTCTGGGGCGCCATCGATCTGCAGGCGCTCGGTGGCCTGCTCGCCTGGGGCGCCATCGTCATCGCCGCTCTGTGGGAGGAAAAGGTGCGCGGCAGGGGCAGCTACGGAAGAGGAAAATCCGGCTGGTCTCTCCTTGCAGGCGCCGCCACCGACATTTGCCTGCTCGTTCTCTACATGATCACCAAGCAGCGTCGCGACCTGCCCAACACCAGCCGATGGTCGATTGCGCAGCTCGTCCTCATCATCCTCCGTCTTTTGCTGCTCTATCCCGTCCTCATCCTTGCTCTATCGTGGGATCGCGTGCGCTTCGTTCGCGCCGCGGACCTTGCCAACGAGACCGGCGTCGGCTCGGCACCTGGGCCTTCCACCTCACCCGCGCGCTCCGCGCCCGCCAACGCCGAGTCGGCGGGTCTCCTCCAGGCGCCTGGCGCATCCGCGACGCCTTCGTACGGAGCCACTGGCAGCAGCGTCAACGGCGCCAACGGTAAGGACTCAGCCAAGAAGAACTCGGCTGGCAACTCGGGCACCCAGACGCCCAATCGCGACCCCAACGCTTCCATGGGTTTGTCGGTGGCCACCGCCCCACCGCCGCCCACCTTCAGCACGTTCCTCTACCGCATCCGCTTCCTCTTCCCGTATCTCTGGCCATCCAAGTCGGCGCACCTCCAGCTCATCGCAGTCGCCTGCGTCGGCCTCCTCTTCTCGGCGCGCGTGGTCAACTTCTTCACACCGCTCGCGCTCGGAAGGCTCGTCGAGGATCTTTCGCAAGGCGCCTCGCCGTGGGCCGATGTCGCCATCTACGCCTTCCTCAAGATGCTTCAGGGCCAGGGAAGCCTGCTCACCGTCATGCAGAACGTGCTGTGGGTGCCGGTCGAGCAGTATTCGGACCGCATGATGAGCATGATGGCCTTTGAGCATCTGCTCAACCTCAGCATGTCCTTCCACACCAAAAAGAAGACGGGCGAGGTGCTCAGGATCCTGGACCGCGGCAGCGCCATCAACAACTTCTTCCAGTACCTGCTCTTCAACCTGCTGCCCGTCTTTATCGACATCTTTGTCGCCATGATCTACATGACGCGCACCTTCAGCCCCGCCATCGGCATCGCGCTCTTCGTCGTCATGGTCGCCTACACCTGGACAAGCGTGCAGCTCACCACCTGGCGTACCGGCCTGCGCCGCGCCATGAATAACAAGGACTCGATCTGCCGCGCCATCTCGGCCGACGTGCTCATGAACTGGGAGACTGTAAAGTGCTACTCCAACGAGGGCTACGAGGCCGAACGCTTCCGCTCCGCGCTCCAGGACTACCAGAAGGCCGAGTTCAAGGTGATCGGCAGCCTCAACATGCTCAACATGGTGCAGAACCTCATCCTCGCCTTTGGCACGCTCTTCACCATCATGCTCGTGGCGGGCAGCGTGGTGCGTGGCGAGACGACGAGCTCGCAGTTCGTCGTGTTCGTCACCTATCTCCAGCAGGTGTACCAGCCGCTCTCGATGCTCGGCACGCTCTACCGTGTGGTGCAGCAGAACCTCGTGGACACGGACAAGCTCATGACGCTGCTCGAAGAAAAGACCGAGGTCAAAGACGTGCCCGGCGCCAAGGACCTCGTGGTGACCGACGGCGTCATCGAGTTCCAGGACGTGCGCTTCTCGTACGACGGCAAGGTCGAGGCGCTCAAGGGGCTGAGCTTCAAAATCGACCGCCATTCGAGCGTGGCGCTCGTCGGCGAGTCGGGCGCGGGCAAGTCGTCGGTGCTGCGTCTGCTGTACCGCTTCTACGACATCCAGTCCGGTCGCATCCTGATCGATGGGCAGGACATCCGCAACGTGACGCAGCGCTCGCTCCGACGAGCCATCGGCGTGGTGCCGCAGGAACCATCGCTGTTCAACAATGACATTCGCACCAACATCCTGTACGGCGATACCAAGGCGTCGGATGAGGCGGTCGAGGCGGCAGCGCTTGCGGCGCAGATCCACGACCGCATCCTCTCCTTCCCCGAGGGCTACGGCACTGTGGTGGGCGAGCGCGGCGTGCGGCTGTCGGGCGGCGAGAAGCAGCGTGTGGCGATCGCACGGACGATCCTCAAGAACCCACCGGTGCTGCTGCTGGACGAGGCGACGTCGGCGCTGGACAGCCAGACCGAGAGGCAGCTGCAGTCGGCGCTCAACAATCTGATGCACGGCCGATCGAGCTTGACCATCGCGCACCGGCTGTCGACGATCATCAACTGCGACAACATCATCGTCATGGATGCGGGCCGCGTGGTCGAGGTGGGCTCGCATGCCGAGCTGATCGCCAAGAAGGGCGCGTACAGCAAGATGTGGGAGCAGCAGATCAAGACGCAGAAGGAGCAGGAGGCTGCAGCGGCTGCGCAAGAAGCTTCGCGCCAGGCGGACCAAGACGCACAGCCGACAGAAGCCGCCAAGCCTAGTGCAGCGGCGATGACGGCGGAGCAGGACGAGCAGGATGAGCCTGCCGAGGCTCAGCCGGGCATGCTGGGCATCGTTCCTCCCGCCGTTACCGGCGAGCCGGAGAATCCGCTCGAGGGTGCGGGCGACAACGTAGAGCCGGCGGACGGTGCGCAGGGGCAGGGCGCGGCTGAAGGCGGAGATGTCGAAGCGCCCAGCCAAACCGAGGTGCAGGCTGCGGCCGAGCTTGCCAAGTCGACCCAGCCGGGCTCGGATGCAGGCGCAAACGGCAACCAGGGCGGGCTGACGGTTGAGTCGACCACGGCCACGAATGGCGACGCCAGCGGTGCCAGCTCGCCATCGCTGCAGGACGACTCGCCGTCCGGCTCGGACCTGGCGAGCAGCGGCACGCTCAGCAAGGATGACAAGAAGAAGCAGCAGAACCGCAAAAAGAATGCCAAGCGCCGCGAGAAGGAGCGCCAGAAAAAGTCGAGCGGGTAACGGATCGCGCCCACCAACCTCGACGCCTGCCGGACGCCTGCCCGACTTGACACGGACGCACGCAGCCGCAGAGCCTTCTCCGGGCCTGCGCAAACATCACAGTTCGCCCCGCCGAGTTTGTGAATAGACACTGTCATTACATTTTGTACAATCACATTGAAGCTGCGGTCACTGTGGTGGCAGACGTGATTGGCTGGAGCGATGTGATGGCTAAGGAAGACGGTGAGAGCTGGTGGAAGTAGGGTGTTGGTTCCTGCGCTGGACCTGCGCGCGTCGCGGGCCGCAGCAGCTTGGAGAAGTGGAGCAAGAGAGAGTTTGGTGGGGGCACGCGAAGTGCAATTTCCGAGGTTGCGGCGCGGCTCTGCTGGAAATCGGCGGCTGGACAAAGAAGCGAGGCAGGCAGGAAGCCAGGCACCGCGCCTCCTCCCGCCGATCCACGGAAGAGAGAGAGAGAGAGAGAGAGAGAGAG